GTATTTGACTTCAGAATCCTAATGAGCTTGGTTCAGGTCTTTACGACTGTAGGAAACTTCCCTGGACTTATTGGCAGGTTCAACGTGAGTGACACATCAGGGCTGCAGCAGGGAGGCTGTACCAGGGTGGTACCCTGGCAGGAATATGCCATTCGTGGCACTCTGACTCAGAAAAATAACCATGATGAGCAGAAACTGTTTAGCTGCACTGCCAAGACCCTTAATTTGAAATATGAGTCTGTACTGCCCTATTACCCTATGAATTTAGGCAGTTACAGAATTGTTTGAACAGGTTGATTTGGTTAGTTCCCCTTAAACAGTTTCTAAAAAGTTAAAGTAAATTTGTTCTAAAATACCCATGATTGAAACAAATAAATAATAGATGTTTTGAACCAAAAGCATTGGTATTCCTTGTAGCAGGCCTGGGTCACTAAAGACGTGTAGGAAAATAACCTCTGCATTTAATTTTTGTTTAAAGTATATCAAGGGAAAGGAAGCTTATTGTTTGGCTTTGAAATAACACTGAAATAGCTTGTTTTACACATTGCAGTCTGTTCTACTATTTTTAAATCTGTATGAAGATAATCACTCTCCTTTGTCTGACAACATTCGGCCTCATGTAATTCATTCACTCAAACATTTATCAAACTACTTTTACACAGCAGGACTGAAGGATTCAGAGATGGTGAAGCAGTAGGCCTTATCCTCAAATAAATTCATGAGCTACTTAGATAGATATGAGTAGAATAAACTTTTTTTCCATGTTGTTCTCATGTCACTGACAGTTGTGTAGTTCCTTTATAAAAATAATTTATTGAGAATTTCATATATGCATATAAGGTGTTTTGATCAAATCCATGCCCACTCCCTCCCTTCCAACTCCTCCCATATCTCCCCATCACATCACTTTTTTCTGATAACTTCATGTGCTCTTTCTTCTTCTTTATTTAATTATGGGGATTTTTGCTACTCTAACGCTCCCCCCTCTGAAGAGGTAACCTAAAATCTTTTAAGGATTAGATAAGCGCTCCCAAATACTTTTGACATTTTGTTTAGGAATGGAGTATGTTGCTA